ATTAATGGACAAACTCACGAAGTGAAGTAATCTTGTTTAATAAATCATTGATAACTAATTTAAGGGTGAAATTCATATTTAAAACGTTTTACATCCAATAGTTGTTATTTATTGAATCTGTATTCACATATAACTCCGAATTACATAACATTAAACGTACGTTGTTTGACGAGACAGAAAACTCCTGATATTAATTACTATGGATAAAATTTAATTTAAAAACTAATATTGACAAACCTATTACTTCAGTTAAATCAAAGATAGAAGTAATCAAGTTGATGAATTTCGGTCCCTATTTTAAAACAGAAAATGTAACATATGTGATAACTTATTTATACTACTAAATAGTAACAAGTAGTATCAAATATATAACAGAATTACTGTTGTGGGTAATTTGATAATGAACTTAGCTACTCATTTTTCACCAGTGAACTTTACTTTGACTGCTATAAGACGAAAAATCACTCACAAAAATATGTAAATCAAAGTGTTATTATTTAGTATTATTATTATTACTTACTACCTTACGCCTGTTATTCCTCGTGAAGGAACATAGGCCGCTCACCAGCATTCTCCATCCAACCCTATCCTGGGCAATCCTTTCCAGCTCTTTCCAGTTATGATTCATCCTTTTCATATCTGCTTCTATTTCCCGACGTAATGTGTTCTTTAGCCTTCCTCTTTTCCACTTTCCTTCAGGATTCCAAGTTAAGGCTTGCCTCGTGATGCAGTTTGACGATTTGCGTAATGTATGTCCTATCCATTTCCATCGTCTTTTCCTAATTTCCTCTTCATCTGGAAGCTGGTTTGTTCTCTCCCACAGAATTGTGTTTCTGATGGTATCCGGCCAATGGATGTTGAGTATCTTGCGTAGACAGCCGGCCCAGTGGTCCAGTTGGTTAAGCGTTCGCGCGCGAGACCGAAGGCCCTGGGTTCGAATCACGCGAGCAAGATCGTGGATGCGCACTGCTGGGGAGTCCTACAATAAGACGAAACGGACGTCTAGTGCTTCCAGGTTTTCAATTGTGATGGTCTTACATCAATCGGTTCATGATTTCAATCAAAAAATTAATAATTTCCACAACGCCTATACTAGGAGGAACAAGTGCCGATTGACTGAAAAGAAGGACACCTCATCAAAATTTCAGAGAAAGGAAACCTGAGCAAATGTGAAAACTACAGAGGAATCACACTACTGTCAGTAGCAGGAAAAGTCTTTAACAGAGTTTTGCTTAACTGGATGAAAGACGCAGTAGACACCTAACTTCGAGATCAGCAAGCTGGATTCCGTAAGGATCGATCGTGCACAGACCAAATCGCGACACTACGGATCATCGTCGAACAACCAGTTGAGTGGAACTCGTCACTGTACATCAACTTTATTGATTATGAAAAAGCATTTGGCAGCGTGGATAGGAGAACGTTATGGAAACTTCTTTAATACTAAGGAGTTCCTGAGAAGATTGTCAATATTATCCGGAACACATACGACGGACTACAATGCAAAGTCGTTCATGGAGGACAGCTGACAGATTCATTCCAAGTAAGGACCGGAGTCAGACAAGGCTGTTTACTCTCTCCCTTCCTCTTTCTTCTGGTGGTCGACTGGATTATGAAGACCTCGACATCTGAAGGAAAACACGGAATTCAATGGACAGCTCAGAATCAATTAGACGATTTGGACTTCGCAGATGACCTAGCCCTCCTATCGCATACACATGAACAAATGCAGATGAAGACAACCAGTGTAGCAGCAGTTTCTGCATCAGTAGGCCTCAGGATACACAAAGGGAAAACCAAGGTCCTCAAATTCAAAGCGGAGAACAACAATCCAATCACTCTTGATGGCGAAACTCTGGAAGATGTAGAATCCTTCACATATCTGGGAAGCATCATCGATGAACAAGGAGGTTCAGATGCAGACGTAAAGGCAAGGATTGGCAAAGCAAGGAGAGCATTCTTACAGTTAAAGAACATATGAAACTCAAAACAACTTTCAACTAATATCAAAGTGAGAATCTCCAATATCAACGTCAAGGCGGTTCTACTGTATGGAGCTGAAACTTGGAGAACTACAACAACCACAATCAAGAAGATACAAGTATTTATAAATAGCTGTCTTCGCAAGATACTCACTATCCATTGGCCGGATACCATCAGCAACAGCCTTTTGTGGGAGAGAACAAACTAGCTTCCAGATGAAGAGGAAATTAGGAAAAGACGATGGAAATGGATAGGACATACATTACGCAAATCGTCAAACTGCATCACGAGGCAAGCCTTAACTTGGAATCCTGAAGGGAAGCGGAAAAGAGGAAGGCCAAAGAACACATTACGTCGGATTATAGAAGCAGATATGAAAAAGATGAATAAGAACTGGAAGGAGCTTGAAAGGATTGCCCAGGATAGGGTTGGATGAAGAAGGCTGGTGAGCGGCCTATGTTCCTTCACGAGGAATAACAGGCGTAGGTAAGTAAGTCAGTATATACTGGTGGGTTCAATCACTTATATATATTCTGGAATGTTCGTGTAATAATCCCTACTTAATTAGTTTATCATCGGTCCTCGATTATAAAGATAACGAATATAATAGCAATATATTTCTAACAAATGACAATAGGTTTCATTATAGAAATCCATACAGATTTTTCTCGAACAAATTGTTAGCCCATAGTTGTGCTGCGAAAGTCGATCAGACTTAGTCAATTGTCTGTCAAGTCGGTTGTTCTAGACTAATTCAATTCCAACATTTTTGATGGAAAATGTTTGGTTTTATCCTGCCATTTAAAAATCATACTTCTTTTGACCAAATATAAGCGCTTGATGAAAGATATGTCTACTGTAGTTATAGAACGTTTATTGGATGCATTTTGTTTTAAACTCTTTAAAAGCTATAAGCTATAAGAATTCAAGTAATAAACTAGCTGAACATCAATTAGCGGTCAAAGGCCATGATATTTCCTTACTTATATCAATACATGTGGACAACTGGGACACTCATTCGATTGGAAAATTGTGTAAATCTTGGATAGAGGAAATTCCAAAAACACTAGATAATTTTTAGAAGCTTGGCACTCAGGTCAATCAGCAATCAACAAGCACATTGAAATCGAACCATTTTATCAACCAGTCAGGAAAATTATGCACAAATATAGGACCAAAAATCAAACCAATGGGAGACACAACCAAAACACAGAAGTAAACAATGACAAATTTAAGGTCAATAAGAACCGATCAACATCGATGTGTACAGAACAAGCTATGAAACGCATATGTGGAAATTCGAACACTTCACTTCCATATGAAGTTTGTGCTGATGATGTCGTTCAGAAGAACGATGAAAGCTCAACGACCAAATCATCCAGCTCAGAGAACAAAACTCCATCAATATCATCCACCTGAGCTACAAATCTCCACCGTCTCAAGAGCTGAACTTTGAAAGCTAGACATGTCATCCATTACTAAATGGTAGACTGAAGATAGGTGATACTTTAATATTCGTCACAAATAAACTGATGAGAGGGATATTGAAATGCATTATTGGCCAAACCCAGTATAGGGTCAGTGAAATGTCACTGAGCCATGGCCAAATCATCCTGCAGTTGGGTCACCGAAAATCGAACGGATCATCGATCCGTGTTAAGGTCAAGCACAACCAACACGCATCAACTAATTGTGGGCCATAGACTGGCCCATCCAATGGTGATCACACTTTCGCTTTTACCTCCTCTAACTAATATATTTCTGTAGTAACGTCCTTTGCGTTATACGGTTTCCATGGCAGTGACAGTATTTTGATACGACGAAGAGGTAAACCTCGTTTGGTGTTGACCGTGAGGTGTGACTTCGAAATTGTCAGTTGGTCACACTATTCCCGTTTAACTGGGGTAAGTTTCCAATCAATCGACAAAGGTCATGTACGTTAGTGATAAACACCAGAATAGTGTAAACTTTAATAAATTGTTCGACTAATTCAACTGATTTCTAAAATACTTGTGGTTAATTTTGCACAGTGTACTGTGCATATATGAGAAAGTCTCTTTGTTTGTGTAGAACAAAGATAAGAACCATGTATATCGCGAGATACCATAGACAGGGCAACTCAGTTTTTAAGATTATTTCCCTTATATAGACGGTTACCCAGCACCATCAAATGAAAATAATGGTAACTACGCTGGTGGTATGAAGATATCTCACTATGTAGATGACGATTTGCGTAGCCTTCAAAACGTTCCTAATCGGTTACTTAACTGGTGTTTGATATGGATTGTACGTGTCAACACAGTTACATATTTTTAGACATCCTTTGCAGGTAGAGTTGGAATAGATTTCGGTGTGATTAAGCACATTTTCTCTTAATTCTTGGAAACTATTACTTAGATGTCATTACAAAAACGAATTTGAGATTTCACTAGATTATAGCAGTTTGTTATGATTTCATTTGATCCACTTTGTCAAGGTGTTTCTGTTTATCAAATGGGTCGTTTTGACCTTACCACGTATTTTATGATCTTCTATGCACCTCTGTATTCACATGAATTTTTAAGTAATTATTGACTTATGTGTGTCTGTCATCTATAATCTATGATCTTTACTCTATCCACCGTCTGCAAATGCTGAGTCACTGTACCCGATATGTAAGCACTTTTACTTACTCCGCTTTTTGTCCTTTGTTGTCTTCTTACATCAACGAAAGTTAGATATATACACATTCGAAGAACTTTCTTGTTTAGTCTTTTGTTTTCACGGTGTATTGATATGATCAGCCCGCAGAATATATAAAAATTAGAGTCTATGCTTCATAACTAAATGATGTAAATGTATCAATTAAAAACATTGATATTGAAACCGATAAACTTAACTGGTTGTTAGGGATTTATAGCCCTTAAATAAAACGGAAATATTTATCAAATGGAAGAAAAGAACAAGGTACTGAAGATTTCGATTGTTTACCAGGTTTAAATTTAAATATAGAATTGAGGATCTGGAGCTACTTTGAGTGGTTAGCAGACAAGGTCACTTCGTGACCTCTTGCCTGTGTTTGATTCAATAGTTGTAGTTTTGAGCATTTTGAGGTATCATGCAGTTAATATCTTGTTTCGAATATAAAGCTGTTTTAATATCACACACTTATTACCGCCATTAAACTTTCAAATGTGAGCGTGTTTTATGTGTTTCGTGGATTGACTCAATTTTTCTACTTTTCAAATCCTAGACATTCGGGAACGCTGTACCTACTTCGTCAAAACAAAACGCGTTTCAAGACTATACACTAACCTACTGAAAAATAAATGTTATGTGATGTGTGATTCAGTTTTTCCCCATAATTGCAAGTAAGTGTTCAGACCATCTTAACAGAGTTTATAGGTTTTATTTCAGTGCAGAGCAGTCTCGCGTTAAGTGGAAGGAGTCCATAAAAAGTATCTTAGTCGTTCATAAATTTTGTGATCTCAATGTTATTGAAAGTTTGAAATCGTTTGTTCACTACGTGCTAAAGGTTCGTCCTCAGACTTTTGTTCCTATTCGATATGTCATTTGTTTCCCCAACTAAACAGTACTGTTTTTTGGTGAGACCAAAGTTTATGAATGAATTTCGAGCAATATGACCTCGCGAATCTCTATGCGTTATGATTAAATGAGGGTTGTAAGTTAGTGGGAGAAGTCAGAATTGGGGTTTAGAGTTAGAATCTAGCGTTAAGAATTAGAATTAGGGTTTTCGTCTCAAGCTGAAATAAACTATAGTTCCAGAATGCTATTTAGCCATATGTATGGTTGAGTTTTGCGCTAAAGTCCAAGGACTGCCATCTTAAATTTGATACGTCTGTTCATAAATTATAGTTTCTCGTTCTGTCGAAATAAACATACTTATAGCTCACTCTAAACTATTTGTAAAATTTTATACAGAAGCTCGTAGCACCAACAGTCATGTACCCAATTAATTGGCAGGCTGTTATAGTACCTGGAAACTCTCCGAGCTGACTTGGTACATATTTTATTCGATTCGTACTGAGGAAATCTGAATTGAATTCAATGGGATTTTCTAATGCCACAAAACCTTGTAATGATAAGACCTTCGTAGTTTTGACTTCAGTCGAAATACTATGGTTTTAAATTTAATATCGGTGGCATAGACTGTTTGTATTTAAATACAGTCCTGATTATAACGTAGTGTGGTGCTCAAACTGATTGTTTTTCACTACGTACAAACATTTGGAAGTAAATGTCTGACAAACTGGCTTTCCAACGATGACTAAACCGATAAACCAGAATAGTTTAGTTTCCAGTCAACGGATATCGATTGCCATAATTATCGTCTAATTTCAAAAGGGTAATTATATAGACTCTATTTTTCTTATATTGGTGCTCCAATTTCCTGTTAGGATGAAGTATAATTTTGATTTAAAGCGTACTCGACTGTTGGACATGTAGTTTGTTTTAACGTTAATTAAACTCGTTTTATGCTTTGCAAGTAGAAATACCACATACAGTCAACAATTTCAAGTATAGGTTATTCACGACTGATAGAAAAACGGAAAATTGCCAGTTATAGTTATTTCTGTGTAGTTATCTACAGGTAGTTATAACTTCTGATAATGAAATAATTTTACAACCTCATTGAACTGCACATTTTATCTTACAAAGAACACAACATAGTTTTAAGACACGTATCATCAATGATTTTCGCAAACGGTAGTGATCATGATCTTGGGGCTCTGTATAGTTTTATGCTTGGGTTATTTATTACTAACTCGACTTAAAAAACGGTCGTTTCGTGACAGGATATCCAGATAAACTTCTATCTTTTTATCGTTAATCATAGAAGTGGGATCTGACTATCTATTTGGAGTCGATTACGTTAGATGAACTGAAGAGTGATGATTTATTCTACCCAATTATCCAACAGTACGTAAATTTGGGTAACGATGAATTCAAGCAAGTCACTATTGAACATGATGTTTCCAGACTTTGTGAAAATGCAGCAGAAAGTTCCTCTAAAATTAATGAAAAAAGCTCGATCAGGATCTTTGATCATACTGTGCGAAATAAAATTGATTTAATTGTTTGTCTTGGTGGTGACGGGACTCTTTTACAAATTGGATCGATGTTCCAGGTATATATATGTATATAGTCATGTGTTTGATTATTTTAATTCCTTTTTTAAGAAGCAGATTTTGAATTTCTTGTGGTATATGTACAGAAAAGACTTATTGACGAATACTGTCTTTAAATAAAGCGGTTTACTAGGTGATAAGGCAATCTTAGTATTTCAAGACATCATTTATTTATTTAAGTACAAACATTGCTACGAAAAGGCACCAGAAAATATACACGTCACACAATAATAATAAGGTTGTGAATAGACAGAGAAGGGAAGGTGACTATAATAAGAAAAGGACGAAAATAGATAGAAATTAGTGGATAAGAGTGTAATAATAGTGAGAGAAGCAGTTCAGTTATGGAAAATACAACCAGTAGTAATTCTTTCAGATAAAGTGGTTCCTTTCACTCATATGAAAGAAAGTAAGAGAAAGTTACAGCAGGATCGCTATTAGCTTCTACTATAAGCTATGTCTGATAACGTCTCAGGCCACTATTCCTCCATCTCTAGGACCCTAACCATGGAGTCATGAAAAACCAACAGAAGCCAGTCCTATACTGCTTTCTTTCATACCACGACATCATGTCGTGTACTAACCACTTGTCCGCATTTCCCAAACATTCTCAACGTCGGAAAATAATGTACGATGTGGAATTCGCTGGGATGAAAAAGTCAAAAACACTAGAATAATAAAGACATTCTTATATAATCACCCAATTTCACCATTTGCATTTACTTACATTTAGTAGTAAGGTAAGCAGAAAGGTTTTGTCGAATTTTGATTGAGTACGGAATCACTATCTATGTACCTCATATATTTATATCTCGACGATTAATACTCACAACGACGAAACCTAGGGTGTTAACAAGTCTGCAACTAAATACAAAACCATAGTATTTCGTGCTAAATATTTTTATTAAGCAGTTTAGTTTTATATATATATACATCAGTTTTTGTTCCTCTTAATCATGTAGGGGATTACTCCTCCCGTCATCGCTTTTCGTCTGGGCACACTTGGATTTCTGACTCCGTTTCCTTTCAAAATGTTTAGAACCCAAATGAAGAGTGTTCTTGAAGGTTAGCTAATATTTATGATAATTTGGTCAATAAATCCTAAGTAACTCGTCGTAATGTATTTTATTGTATGTAGTTGTTCGTTGTGACAGTACTTAGTAGGTGAATATCACCAAAGCCGTACTTTGCTGTTCGCTGCTCTTCATAAATTTAAGCGTGTTGTGAACTTATATTTATTCAACCAGTTCGCAGTGAATCTAAGAAGTTTCTGTTTTTCATCAGTTAATAGCAGGTGCATACACTCTTTGTGTTCTCCCAAATTCTAATCTCCTGATTCCTCCTCGTCTTTTTTTCTCTTCCCAAATTTATTTCACTGGATCATACTCTTCAAATAACATCTTCAAACCTTAATCTTCCCGATTACTGCTTATACTCTTACTCTTACCTCTACCACTACGGGATTTGAATCGACAACTGCATCTCGATGCTAATGTGGTGTGGCAACTCGAACTGATGTACGTACGTACGACGTTCTACGTTGTTACTGACTAGTATTTGTTAAGGTTACACGATAGGGTGTGTCATGCTAGTTGATTGAGATAGTTTGACGTATGAATTACTTAAACTAAAACGGATATTGTACATTTTGAGTGAGTGTATATTTTGTGCTTTAAAAAATATGTGATGCATAGGATGTCTATGGGAAAAGATTTAAAATCACTTCACGTATATTTATCCATAATCTAAAAACCTGATTTCCTAGAATCCTTATTTTATAAGTATGTATGAGTTGTTAGGATATAATCTTTCAGATAATTGTTTATCTAATTTAGGAAGATTTAAAGTTATATCTATTGAATGCCTGTTTGTCTAGCATTCCTTTTACACGGAACTACACTCTACTCACCCTAAATCAAAACAAATATAAGAAAACAACATAAATTCTAAATAATGGCAAAAGCAGAAGACACAATAGTAAAAGTACAAGGGTGTTGACAGATCTTATTGAACGCTTGAATTGGTTTCCTAAGCTATTTTAATAACCCCATGCTAATTCTGCACGACACTAGAGAAAAGGTGCAAAATGTGGAAAGTACGTTTTACCCCAAGGTTAGTTTATGTGCAGAAAATCGAGGATATTTATTGCGCTTCAAATAGCCTTGGGCTTCTGGAACCCTAATAAACATAGTAGCACGGTAGGTAATCATCCAATCAGAAATGTGACGCATGGCTCCTCATTTTCTAGATCTTTTTGAGAATCTTCTATTCAGTGCTGATTGGATGAAATGTTTCCCCACGTTTTCAGGGTCCGTCTAGGCTTTTTTCGAGAAATACTTTGGATCTCCCTAACAGGTGCATGTAAAATTCACAGGAGAATCTATTTTATTACCAATTTTTCCACTAGCACTGATCAGCTGGCGTCCTGTGATTTGAGTTTGCACTCGGTATACACTTGTCAGATTTATATCCTGCTAACAAACTCTCATACGGACTTGGACTTTTATTTTTCTATCCCATTCAGGTTCATCTTATTGTGTATTACGAACTCGGCTTTGTTGTCAAGTTATTCGCAGTAATGTTATGAATCATATTGGCAATAATAATTCTGACATACAGGATACCTCAACTGCCAGTAATTGTAGTGAGAATCAATCTCAGGCATCTAACTGTTCTAACGATATTAGTTCACGTTCCAGTTCACCAGATACTGAATATCATGTGAGTATTTTCTTTCATTTTCCTGATAATTATGTTTAAATTGAACAAAATTTACCCTTCTACCTGTACTGTTTATCATGACGATTTATTAAATGTATTTATTTATCTGTAAGTGTATTTTATAGATCATTTTACAATTTCTGAGACAAAATTATGCTACATAAGAACTATATGAAGTAATTTCCTACAGCTTCAATCCTAAACTATTCTCTAGACTGTCGAACACAGTCTTAACTTAGCCAAAGTCAGAACAAGTAAGTTATATGGCTCGATAAACTTCATCTGTTTCGAACGGTAACCAGAGTACAGGAAAAATTAGTCAACAAACCGAATATTGTTTTATGATAAACATTAAATTGTGATTGGTGAATAACCATGTCATAGTCATACAAGGTCTAAAGGAGTCAATGTGGTGGTGGGCGTCTCATGTTATCATTGGTGGGTTTGTTTATCGACCACACTTTACAAGAACTTTCACCTAAATTTGAACGAATTGTTTCACAGTAGTTAATGTAAGACAATAAGGTAGAAAAATACATTTATGAAATTTCAGCTTCGTCCAACGTCGAATAAAAGAAGCATTGTCAAAATATTGTTTTTGAAGGTAACAGCCAAACTATGTCCCAGACATTTACTTGACAGTAAAGCGAGCATTGCTTATAAAACCTTAATCATTAATGATTATTTCCTAAAGTTTATGACCATCAACAAATAAGATGCTAAAACAAGCTACTATCCCTAAAAGGAATGTGTTTGTTAAGTTGCCATTAAAAAAGGACGATCTCATGGTTCAGAATAGGTGTCATGTCGGTTGGTGTCATCATTTCACTAACCTCTCGTCTCCGATTTCAATGACCACATATCACACAAAAAGCGTACTCAGGAAAATTAACTTTTACAAAATATTTTCTGTTACCTCTAGTTATATTTATCTACCTACATGTATCTAGAAATGCATGTACTTTAAAAGAACAGAGAGAGTATCATCTAAAAGAATCTCAAAACACATACCGAAGGATATGATCCTAAATGGCCTCAAATTGCGAAGTAGTGTCACAGGAAGAGAAGTGTAACGCATACAAGTCATTTAGTAAATGTTGACACTACCTTCCTTCTGATAAATAAACAAGATAATCTCGAATTTCTACGTTATTTTATTTATACAAATCCAGTGCATATATGGGAGTTTTAGAGAACACAAAATTGCATTGTATTCACTTTATCTCATTGTGTTTATTATCCTTATTTTATAAAACATATTTTCTCTATTATGAAACTATTTCTTGATTTTAGTGTCGCTTCGTATTAACCCTGTAAAAGTCATTTGGTGTGGTTAATTATTATAATTCGTGGCCTTATGCCCTATTAATATATAACGTAATGATACCGCCAATTAGAGAACAGCGATTTATCGACCGCATCAATGGCGCGTAAACCCGTATCGGTCCTGCTTCCTGCCTAGCCCTGCCTGTTAAGTCTAGAACACCAATCTCAACCTCTGAGATATGAATCATGTACTTCAAACATACTGGGTTTATATACAAACCGGACATACCACATCGTACCATAAAATAGAAAATAACATTTGTACAAGATCTAGCCAAAAGTGGCTGTGAATGTGGGAGACTGTAATTAATAGACTGGGTATAACTCAAGAACGATAAATCGTATAATAATAGTCTATGAATCAAAATAAAGCTTATAATAAGAGGAACATGAATATGCATAGTTTAGCTACTTAATAATTATACAATAAAAAATATATGTATCGTATTGGTCCATAAACAATTCCTAAAAGTTAACATTCATAATTTTCGTTTGGATATAACATTAATAAAATTATTTGTTGTAATTAATCAATCATGACCTAAATTCCTTATATAAACAATTATTAATTTAAGTAGAAGGTTGTTTGTTAGCGCGATATAGATTGGATTAAAGCATGTTCCGTGGAGGATGGTGTTAGGACACGCTGATTGACCATTTCCTTTTGAAGAAGACTCAAGAATATTCTTGTGCGAAAAACATAATTATACTAACGTTTTTTCTCATTGTGATTCCTACTTTCATTTAACTTTTGTTTATGTAAGATGTAATTACATTTCTGTTCAACCATGTTATGATTTAGAGACCTGTCGAGTGAATTAGTGTCCAAAGAATACTAAGCAATAAGAGTATCCGGGTCGCAGTAAAAGAAATAACATTGTTTGAATCACACGTTTCATAATTTTAATCATTATACTTCGTATATGTCAATTTACATTACTATTAAATTCATACGTCATGGTAGATCATTTTAAATTATTTGTCAGAAGTACTTTGTTTTTGCTATTCATATTCCCTTTAACTTAAGAGAGGGTATTGAATCACATATGTGCATTCGAATTAAAATAACTGATAATCCTTAGTTGTGAGGCTCTTTAATTATGACGTTTTTACTGTCTGATTCTTTCGTTCCTCTCAATACTTTGCCTCAGTTTTTATGTTGATACGTACGAACAGTTCTAACTTTTATTATACTAGGTATATGTAGTTATAATTTTAGTCAAGTTAATTATTATATCTTCTACGTATTTGTCTGTGTATTATTTTCTCTTCTCGTTCCATATCTCAACTCATCTCGATTAACCATCTTCATCATCCACTCTTAGTTGGAATTCAGTGCTCTAAGGTTTTGTTCATTGCATATAGTCTTCCTCCGTCGTCACTTATTTGCTACTTATCAACAACATACTGTATACGATCCATCTTGTCGTATTTTGTTCTTCTCTTTCTGTGACGTCTAATAGCTTGTTAACTCGAACTGATGAATTCTTTTAAGAGATACCTCGTTGTGTCCATGTATCTGTAGAATATACAATAAAAATTTCCCACCTTCCATACGTTTTTTATTTGCAAAGATTCTTTTTAGATTCCCCCAACGTTCCCAATGTTCAACTTTTGATCACTTTTTCATCCGTTTAGTAGTCTAGTGTTAGTTATTAGTGTAATTTTCTATTGAAAACTTCATTTCGAAACTTAGTTTTCACTATATTTGTATTGTCTATTCGGCTCGTCTCCTTCACTATATTGATACGTTCGTGGTAAACATTTGCGGATAACTCCAACTTGTCTAAATGAAATCTTCACTGAAAATTAACTTCTAATGTTCTATACTCACCCGCTAAATGCGCTGAAAAATAATTTGAAATAATACACTTAAGAAGCATTTAAAAAGTTGTAAAGAAAATCAGCCGAGAATTTTAGCAAAATCAAATTCGTCCTTGGATTAGACAAGTAAAAACAGGTAAAATAGACTTCATGGTCTTAAATAAAAACATACTATTCACTCTAATTAGGGCTGTACTAACCATACATATATTTATATAACTAGATATAAATTTCTCCATTGTATATAAAATTTCTGTCTTTTAAAATTGAATGCAGATTGTCTTAGTAGTATCTGTCCTCACATTTTAAATAACCATTCAGTTGACTGTTTTCACTACTAAACTTGCGTATTATTATCTGTTTTCTTTGTACCATAGTTCCTAAATGACCTAGTTATTGATCGTGGCCTTTCTCCATTTATCTGTGATCTCCTCATTAAGGTGAATGGTAGAGAAGTAACTACTGTAGAAGGCGATGGTAAGCAAGCGTCTAATTTTTTTATTAACGCTTGTTCATATGCAATTGTAGTTATTGTTTTTATTATCCTTGCTCAAACAGACTTTTATGTACCAATATGACATTATAACCGACCAAATATCTGATTACCGAAGTTACGGATCCTTTATAATACAAAATGACTTTAGCTACAATCTAATGACGTTAGGTAATTAGACCACGATACTGGATCATGGTGTATTCACAGACACATTGCCGAACTGAAAGTAGCGAACCAGGTAAATGATGAACACTAGTATTTTTTACACAAGTCCTAGCAGTCTTCGTCATACACTGAATCCAAAGTGGAAATTAATCTTTTAGGTAAAATAATAGTCTATATACTTGTCCATCTTTGCTCACTAATTAACCACGTATTACTTTTGCTGAACTCATTGTGAATATTTTCGAAAGGTAGTAATTCCTTAAGTCCTAAAGCTAAATTATGACCAGCGGTGTGAGACACTTATCTACCAATGGTGTCAGTAGGTGGTAGTGCAATGTTCTGAGTTTATTCGATTTAGGAATGTTAATCATTGTTCTCCCAAACCGTGGTCTAAGGGTAAAGTGCTCTTTGTGAGTCTTCAAAGTCCTAGGCTCGACTCCTAGCGAGGTTGTTGCTATACAGTGTTGAGGAGTCCCGTACTGGGACGAAATGACTGCCTAGTGCACCCTGGCTTTCAATATTTGATTAAATAAAATCAGTTTCCCTTGTATACCCTAAAATCCAACAATTTCCATAAACCTCAACCTAATCACTAATTATTCCTGAACGAGTTTTAGAAAACCACATTAAGAACTCCTTTGGATACTTTGAGTCAGTCGAATCTGTTTTATTATGTTTCATCTGACCTCGTTCCATAGATACGAAATTCAGTAGTGACTCAGGATTTTTTAAAATTCTTAGCTACCTCTGAACACCAATTATATTTCTTCATTTGGTTAGTTTCGAAAATTATTTTATTTTTGTATCACATGATGAATTCTGCTGGTAAACCGCTATAAACTCTCAGAGTTCCGAACAACTAATGCGCACCCACAACTTCGTTACGGATTGAAATAAAGGTCTTCCGTTTTCATAAATGTAACTCATTTACGAAGTACATGTTCGTGTAATCGGAGCTTTAAACCATGCTTTGTGTTGAAACTGTAGTGAACGAAGACCTAGTGTGGAAAATGAATTCATTATGAAAACCTTACATTGCATAATTCATTTGCACATCTTCCATCAGTTGTCGCTTACATCCTTCATGATCCTTCCGATTTTCAATTCCTTTTTTTCCCTTTCTGTCTTCAGTTCAATATTCTCACCCTTCCCTTGAAAAGTGTTGTGACTTCATGTCCGGCTTTTTATCGCGTGATTTATCCACCAATCAAAATACGAGTCATACAATCTTAGCACTGTGCCAAACCAATGACGTTCGACCGGTATGAGCATCCTAGCGTCCTTATTAATCCTATGTTCGCGTAGCCCGTCCACTTGATTCTAAAACACCAATACCAGCTTCCACTATGCGGATCGAATCGATTAATTTACTTCAGACATACTGGGTTTATATATCAACCAAACAGAGCGCAACGCACCATAAAATAGGAAATAATATTTGTACACAATAAAGCCAAAAAGTGGCTGTGAACGTGGGAGGCAGTAGTCAATAAACTGAACATAGCTTAAGAACCGTAAATCGTACAATAATAAATTATAGGTCAAAACAAAGCTTATAACAAGGGGAATATATATATATATATATATATATATATATATATATATATATATATATATATATATATATATATATATATTAGTCCATTAATAAGTCTTAGACGTTACTCGTAATGTAATCTTCACTAGGATATAAAAACAGGCATTTCACTTCTGATCGGTGTTACATACTACTTATGTTTGTCGACATAAGTACCATACACCACAAAACTAGTGATACTACCCGGTTTCCCAGGATCAAGTAGATGGAAAGAGCAACGCTAATCTGCAACCTATTCGTCGAAAGTCAAAACGTCTTAATTAGTGAACCATTGCACCAATTTTTATAATATGATATCTTTGGGCTAATGAGTTATAACCAAGTAGTCTACATTTCCAAATTCAGGGTATTACGTATCAAAGAACTAGTATCAATAGAAATGATAATTGAATTTGTCTGAGATAAAAATTTTAAAGCAATAAGAAACTTTGGTTTCTAAAAGATTCACATCGATTTGTTTAATAAAGTATTGTTTGTCATGTAAATATTCTCAAATTTCTGTGCTCATTACTTCTTGTTAAATGAAGGTTTGCAATCAAGTGGATATAAAAATATTCGTAACTATTTCTTTAATAATTAATCAATCAAAATTAAATTAACTTACATATCAGTTTCCTAGGCATGAGTCATGCTCTAAGTTGAAAGGCCAGTGACACTAGCCGGTTGCCCAAAATAAAGTAATCAAAGCGGGATTGAGACCTGAAGATTAATTACTCCGCCTGTAGTTCTTCTAGGGCTACTGTTATTCCTTAACCTGAGTAAAGGAGGAGGTTTGAGCGTGGGCTCGGTAACCCCATCCTGTAGAAAACAACCTTGCTAAGAAAACGCCAACTGAAATAAACAAATTAAACCTGAGTATTAGTGTGTGAATATTATAACTTTTGATTATTTTCTGATGATTGGACCTTTCCAGAAAAATTATCTTTTAATTGTAGTATCATTAACAAAATAATCACACTACCTACCTTTCTCTTATCATTTTTAGATAATAATAGGTGTGGTCAGTAGTTTGTTACCTGTGTATAAACTTAGATGTATACATAGTTACAGAACTATATTTGCTTTCTTTTTTCTCTGATTTCAAGATATATTTCTTGTAATTGTTCATTAGAATTTTCAAGTAGTATAGTACTTTCTACCGTACCATAGCTATTGTAATCTTAATAAAGAGAAATAAATGAAACAAGTCTTCCCATTATTATTATTATTATTATTATTATTATTATTATTATTACTTTTTGTTAAGATGCACTTTATGATTAAATGTGGAATTCGTTATTAGGTCATCCGAAAATCCCTACCAAAATAATTTTTTTCTTCGTAAAATAAACCCAGTGATTTCCTTAGTTTGATAAAAAAATTTATGAATTAATTATAACATACCATTTGTTCTATTTCCTTCTATCTGTTCAACTCACTTCCACTTAATTATACTCAATTATTCATAAGTCGGTTTTAAGGAGTATTTCGTATAAGATTCAACCTTTATTTTGTTAAATTAAAATAAAATCTCGTCTAGATTATTAATTTGGATTTTAAATGTGTATTACTAGGTCATACAATCAGTTTGATTATGGATTATAAAAGTATTTAAAGATTTAAACAGTTAAGTACAACTATCTCAATTCAATGTTGAATAAGTTTTCTTTAAGTTTCAATGAGAGTGTATGCTTTACAAGTTTTCAGATACACATAGTCTATCAGTATTTGCGAGCATAAATTTAGGAAATTTAGTATTTAAATTCACCTGAACAATACTATTTATAGCATCAACAAAATATCTTTATGTCAAACAAAAGTTCATTTTGTAATACACTCGTAAAATAACCACTAAACTTTAAATAATATGTAAATGTTGCGTATATTTAATCATCAACGCTTTTTAAGAGTTAAGGTCGTTTCATAAACCATTAAATCGAGCAGTATTATAGTAGTTGGACATAGCGTGATTAGCGATAATAAACAAATCAATTAATACAGTTTATAATCTATGATAACTGGAAAATTTACACCACTCTACCTATTTCGATGTAGTTTATTAACCAGTGTATATCAATATAGTAGAAGAGTTTTCCTAACTTTCAAATTGACTCATTGAACTGACAGATTATGCATTAAACTTTATTCGGAATACTATCAAGAATTATATGAATTCAATTTAGTGTTCCCATAATGTTAGTAAGCTAATTTAAAACAATTATCTATAATAAACTAATCCATATTCATTGTTTGTTTACTGTTTATTCCTCATTATTTTTGGCTTTCTTTTTCCATAGACTCCTACGAGCACGAATAAGTTTATAGGACTTATTATGTTTATATAAATATAGTTAATAATTAACTAGTTAATTTGTTCTCTAACCTTTATTTATTTAAACTTAGATTATTTTTTACATAGATTATGGTTTTAAAAATAATTTTATGTTGAATTAAATCAAGGTAATGCATTTTAGAAATTTCACAGATTGAAATCATGAGTCAATTGAAGCTAGACCAACATGGAAGACCTGGAAGCACTGAACGGCCGTTTCGTCCTAATATGGGACTCCTCAGCAGTGCGCATCCACGATCCCGCACCCTGCAAGATTCGAACCCAGGATCTATCAGTCTCACGCCAGGCGCTTAACCAACTAGACCACTGCGCCGGCACCCAATGGGATCGTGGATGCGCACTGCTGAGGAGTCCCATACTATTGACGAAACGGCCGTCCAGTGCTTCCAGGTTTTTCATGGTGGTCTAGCTTCAATTGACTCATGATTTCAATCTGAAATTTCTAACATCTCCACAAACCCCTTCTGATAATACATTTTAGTTTGGCCTGTTTATTTATTTATTTTTTTGAATAAATTTCTCATGTTTATTTCCACTTTCACATACATATTCATGGCAAATATTTTAGGGACTATTTATTTTAAATATTGAAAATAATAGACCAATCATCATTGATTCTCATTATTTATTATTTAGAGTTTCGAAAATGAAAATTTAATTTTTCTAGTTTTTGTGGTCCGTTGGCCTGACTCCGATTTGATCAAGTGATGATGATGTTAACGAAATAATGATGCCGCCTATCCTCGTATATATTTATCGATTTAATATTGGTGAACGACGGGATAAAATAAGTCAAGGACAAAGGTTATCTTTGAATATGTATATTTTATACACCCGTTGCTTCAGACCGATAATAAAAGAAACGAAGTGTAGAATCAGACCTGAGAGGTCGAACATATCAACTCCATCCAACAAAATCGTGACTCAGTCATAAACTACCTTGATTGGTTCAATAGTTTCGGATATGCATATAAATATCACTGTATGTTAGAGTAAAGCCCGATGAGGATCTAATCGAAAACAATGTTGTGCTATGTATGTTGTCCAATATTTATAGTCAAACAAAAATAAGCTGAATACGTGATGAATAAGGTAAACGTTGAACATGCATACGTTCTTATAAAAACAGTCAAGGTTAGTAAGCGAATAATTGATAAGGTCAAAATATGATTTAAGAAGCATAAATAAATCGATCCGTCCGGAAGCTAGAATAACCCATTTGGGTTTGACACAGTACTGACATATGTATTTTTTGTCTATGTTAAAACATTCTCAATTTCAAATAAAAAGAAAAATTATTAGGATCCACAATTTCTGTTCTAATATACAATTCGATTATCTAAAAATCCCTTGTACACATCTTGCATGTTGTTGGAAAAGTGATTTTTTTAACTGTTAAAGTTAATATTAGCAATTTGCCCACTTACCTTTTAAGTAGATTATGTGTATTAGATACTCTATGAACACAAAAACACAACTCGATAGACTAAAGCTCATAACCAATCTCATCAACACGAAATGCTTGTATTCTGTACGTTTACCTCTAAATATATATTAAACATTTGATTATTCTAGTCTTGGTCATTCTCTGATTTTCCTTGTTTCTGAATGAAGAAAATAAGTAAATAAAATTACTGAAACCCAATGATCACTTAAAGCTTTTCATACACTAATCTCTTTGCTAATATGTATTGTTTGAGGATTTGTGGTGTTACGTGACTGTCTAGATGAAAATGAAATAATTAAAAGTTTTCGTGTTGACTTGACAATTCAAAATTTCGTACACATTTCTCGTTTTTTCTTAATAATTTCCTTTTGTTCTGTCTCTCCTCTCAAAAAGCTTGACCAGCTACACTCTATTACCATGGTATTCTTGTTCATAAAAGGCTTCTCTTATGATAATCTTTTGAAACAGTTTTCCTTTTATAAACGACAATACAGTTTTATAGCATTATAGTCTGTTATTTATTGAGTTAATTTTGAATAGACAATTTTCATAGTAATTTAATAGTTGAATTCGTGAGTCAATTGAAGCTAGACCACCATGAAAAACCTGGAAGCACTGGACGCCCGTTTCGTTCTAGTATGGAGCTCCTCAGCAGTGCGCATCCACGATCCCGCCTCATGAGATTCGAACCCATGACCTATCGCGCGAACACTCAACCTCTAGGCCACTGAACTGGTATCCAATAGCGTCAATGTCTTACTTCATAGTGTTTTTCATTCGCTTTTGTCTGGTTATTTTAAAGTTTTATTGAATACTTATTAATACTTCTCAACATTTTTGAAAGCTTTAGATAAATATGATGGTTTCCCATTTGTACATGAGTTTATATTTGAAGTTTTGTTTTTTTGTTACAGCAACTTCTGTCTAACTTCATTTTTGTTTCACTGATCATGTAAATAACAGGGAAAATACTTTTATTGACGGCAAATATTGGAGTATAATGTAATTTAGTTATGAATCAACATTGTTGTTTGAATAAGTGAATAAGTATTTAAAGAAAATACCAATATTTTATCTGGTACGGACATCCAAATGTTTCACTAATTCAGATATAAACCCGCGCAGTTTTACATAGAAAAATATTTAAAGTACTTAATTGTCAGGGATACTCTATGGACTGTTTTTGTTTTGAAAAATCCACACCAAAACATCGAGAAAATGATGCGGAGAACAAAGTCAAACAGACCACACAACGTGATAATCTGGATGTAAATGTAGGCAATGTATTGCAAGTTAATTATTCCCCTAACTACCGTTCAGTTCAAGAATCTGTAAATATTCCTAAAGTGTAAATGTTGCGGTCCAACATTTTACAATAAAGCTGTATAAATTGTCTTTCCCTTCTCCCTATACCTATCCGGATTAGTCCAACGTTATTAACATTCATGGTGATCGAATCGGATCATAATGCCTCATTTACATTGGATGGTCCTAATTGTAGGTTTATAAACAGTTGTCTCTGTCGGCTCATCTATCTAGAAAAATACATTCTCGAGGTAACTAAACTTAATTAATAATGAATTAAGACAATTATTTAACTTCTATGCGAGTGGGCTAACTGTTTAATAATGAAAATGTGGATTACCAACGATACGAAAGGCTTAAAATAGGTTAATGCTAAATACTTATCCAAACGTGTTTAACAGTTAATTCTGTGTGTAGCGAGATTTTAAGTCATTAGATGTGGAATGCCAACAAAATTCGAAATGTAAAATGTGTATTTTAGTATATAACTGAAATTAAGAATTTATTTAATACATTAGATGCTCACAATAATTTTTTTACTTATTGTCAAAGTAATAGTACATTTGATGAAATTAATCATACAGACTCACTCAGCTATAGTGAATAACAATAAAATCTGACTTAAAATGAATCGAAGTTATGTACACTACTTACCTATACAAAGAGTTCATTTAATCTATCATGTTTCATAGTCCTACTATACTCATAAGTAACATTTGAATATGTTTGGACAAACGATTATTTCAAATACAATTTTTACAACTATTATCACACAATATCTAAGGATGCATTGCCATATGATTAAAATACCTAATTCTTGAAATCTTTAACTTAGTGTTATTTGATTAATTAATAAAAAAGTTTTTAGGGATTCATAGACTTATTGATCTCCAAATGAAATAGTAATAATCATTGCTAAACTTAGCTAAATAATATTGAAATAAATTATTCTGCAAAATAAATACTTAAATAAAAAATGGTAATCCCTATTATCATCAATCATGTAGACACCGGACTGTTTCTTCACTTGTGTTTATTTGTATTTAGATTATCTCAATAAAAATATACTAAAACATAACCTAAATATCAACTGAATAAACAGACGTATAAATGAGTTTAAAAATAACGACATTTAAAACTGCTCACTTGTCAAATGTTGCACAGATGAAATACGTATAACGCCAAAATTGTGTTGTATAGAATCTCAGTGGTAAATACATTGTACATGAGGGCGAATCGGAAAGTTCATTCTTAATAGACACAAGTTTATCGTGGTCGTAGTTACTAGTTTTCCTGAAAACAAATTAACCTAATCAACAATTCAGAATTACCAACTTTTTTTAAAGAGTTACAATAAACATGTCGTTTACCTACGGCATTGAAGCACGAAAATAGTTAAATAAAAAGAATGTCGACGTTTCATTGAGGAAAATGTTTTTTTTTCGGACATTGGCATTTTCTTAAACTGTACAATCGTAATTAAATAGAATTTCATGATGTTTACTCTATAATGAAGTGTAATATTTACCTGTAAAGTGTTATTAATTTTATTACAAATTTAATATGCAATTCTCATTTTGTTACAACATCAAATGAATCATGCTATTTTGTAATGCAATGTAATCGTGTAATGAATCATATAATACGTGTACAATTGTACACACTCAACTACTGGTGGTTATGACCATCTTGATACCGCATAAATGCCTTCTATCAGCTGAACAAATACATAGAATTCACAACCAACATCGACAGATTGTCTAAACTTATAGATAAAGAATTTACTTCGGAACAAACCGTCGTGTCGCTTAAGAAGCTGTTAGTCGCTGAGCGTGACCCTTCCTTTTGTATACATATTTTATGCAAAAATCATTTAGATTGTGATGATCAACTGGTATTATGAAATGGTAGAAAGTCACATCCTCAGGTAATAGTGGCGGTTGAGGTTTTAAAATCAATTTCATACGGACATGACAATAAAACTAAGATATACAACTTGTTACTGTTGGAATAACACTGTCTGTTAATCAAGTCAATTGGAGGACTTGAAAAAAATTGAACGAATACAGACTCAAGTGTAGGTGGGGTACTATGATATAAATAAGTGAATCCTTAAACTTTATTGACCTTCTGTGAAGATTAGAAATTTATGGATTTTATCGCCTACCACCCCATTCCATACGAAACTTGTCAACCTACATACTTAATCATATATGAAAGACTACTCACATATTTTTCTGACTAGCTTAAATCTCTCGATGGCTTATTCACTTCCTACATATATGTACTCCTTGAATCTTACCCGTTCATTCACCCTTATTTGCTCACTGGTATTTGTTTATATTCACTCGCATTCGCATTTCTACTCGTATTCGCTTCGTGTTTGTGGCCTTATAATCTGGGCTGGGTGATAATAAACTGTAGTTAATACGTCGCATTATCTCCTGAGATCTATGCAGCATTGGGTGTTATTTAATAACAATTATCAGGATGAGTGAAATATGAAGCCTTAGGAAATTTCTCGAGGATATACTACCACAACATAAAATCATATGTTGTGCAAAATATATATTACGAAACTATCAAAATTGTTCCGAAATGCCATTTGGTTTGATTACTGCCAAAGACTACTTTGATATATGGTATCCTCATTTAAATGTTTACTTATTTGTTCGCTTCATTTTTAAACAAAATTATTCTTTTCGATTAATAAAGTAATTAATTTTTCAAGACCTATTGATGCTTACGTTTTCTTTCAGGTCTTATTATCAGTACACCTACCGGAAGTACAGCTTATTCAATGACAGCTGGTGCTAGTATGGTACATCCATGTGTACCCGCTCTAGTGTTAACACCAATCAATTCATTAGCTTTAAGTTCACGTGCTATTGTTCTTCCAACATCTATAAAATTAGAAATCTCTATTGCCAGTAAAGCTCGTTGTTCAACTGTACACTTTTCTTTTGATGGACGTTCGCGACACTCAAATTTATTGCATAAGGGTGACGTTATCCTAGTGAGTGCTTCACCGTTCCCTGTTCCATGCCTTTGCAGTGAAAATGAGGTATGAATTGGTTGTGTAAAGTTGTTTTTTCTCAAGCGTGTTTTTGTTAAACATTGTGTTGGGTGTTATGTTATATATTTTAAAAATATATATGAGACTACATAAACTTCAGTTGTAATCCTCTTTACTGTCATGACATTTGATACAGTTAATCTCTTTGGTAAATTTTGATAATGTAAGTAGGAAGACGAAGTTCATCAAACCTATGTGATATATTAGTGAAATAGATTTTAAACAATGTAATCACACATTAATTTGTTAAAACATTTATTAATGTTAAAAAAATCAAGGTCAAGCTGAACTAATCAGATTTTTAAAAAACCATAAATCACACCACTCTAGGTATCAAATCGATGTTACCACTAAAGGAACTCAGAACTAGAGAAGATATTTTGTCATAGTTCCAATGGACAAAGGACGCACAATAGTGATCATGGACAAGGAAGAATGTATCAGGAAAGTCGAGGAACTACTTCAGGATAAAAGCGTTTACAAACTGATAAACACAAATCCAGTCAAAAGGTTAGCCAACCAAATATCAAAGCGAGATCAATGGAGAATGAAATCTAATGAACCAGTACTCCCTCGATTCTACGATAGGCCGAAAATACACAAACCAAACATCCCACCACGTTCAATTTATCACTTCCCGGAACCCCAACATACGATTTGTCAAGAGAAATTTCACGAAAAATTTAGTGGATTCATTCAAACAGCTCATCAAATCCCCCATACAATTCCTGGATCAGATTAAGAACATTCAAGTCAGCAACAATGAGCTGATGATACCCTTCAATGTAACAGCCTTATTCACCTCAATTGAACCAAGCTTAGCAAGGGAAACTATCCCTGCGTCTTACCGACACAAATATGTCAAACTACACGAAGTCTCAAAGTCAAAGTTTAATAGAACTCATAGATTTATACTTAAGAACATATTTTCAATTCAGCAACAAAATCAATGAACAAACGAAAGGAACACAATGTCAGGACTTGCTGTCTAACCAGTGATGCAGAGACTGGAAGCCTCGATCCTACTAGTGATCAAGCCGAAAATTTGGATTCGTTATGTGAACGACATATTCGTCATCGTCAAAAGGGATGAGCTGGAGAACACCTACAAGCTGATCAACAACGTCTTTGATGACATAAAAGTCACAATGGAACAGGTCTCAAAAGAAAAACTACCATTCTTGGATGTATTAATCACCAGAACCGACACAGTTAAGCTGGAGACTCAAGTGTATAGGAAGCCGACCCACACAAATCAAATTCTCAACTACAATAACAACCCAAGAGCTCACAAAATCAACTGCGTACAAACTTTATTCAAGAGGGCGAGGACACACTTGCAGCCCAAAAAATACCTGGAGATCATCTTTCAAAAGAAGGGTTACCCAATCGGCTTCATCAAAAAATACCAGCCGCATGCATCTTCAGAAACAAAGTCAAGTGCAGGAACCAACAAAGAAATTACAAAGAGATTGTTGAAGCCTTTTGGAATAGGTGTAGCACATAAACCAACAAAATAACCTCAATCGATCCTATGCAAACCAAAGGACGAAATGAAAAAAGGAGAAAAACCGAACACCATCTACAAAATAAATTGTTCCAACTGCGGAAACACTACATCGGACAAAGTGTATGCTTTTTTCATCTTCACCTGCATGATCATCAATTGGTGATCAAACGCCATGACATATCCTCTCTTACATCAATGCATGTGGACATACATTCGAGTGGGAGAATGTAGAGATCCTGGATAGAGGCAATTCTAAAAGCACCAGATAATTTTTAGAAGCTTAGCACTCAGGTCAATCAGCAATCAACAAACACGACGAAGTCGATGAAATTTATCAACCAATCAGAAAAATTATGAACAAATATAGGACCAAAAATCAAACCAATGGGAGATACAACCAAAACAAAGAAGTAAACAATGACAGATTTAAGGTCAATAAGAACCAATCAACATTGAGGTGTACAGAACAAGCTGTGAAACGCATATGGGGAAATTCGACCTCTTCACTTCTATCTGAAGTTTGTGCTGATGATGAAAGCTCAACAACCAAACCATTCATCCCAGAGAACTAAATTCCGTCAAAATTGTAGATTTATCTTCAGTCACATAGGAGTACTGTGCATGGTGGAGTTTCACATGATTAAGGCTCTGAAGAAGCCGTGACAACTGTCGTACAGAAACACAAAGACTGAGTTAAAAGCTATTTTCTAACTTGATTCAACCATGCGTTTGTTAATAAAAACAGATAAGTATTCGTTATATGTCTTTACTGGGTCACTGTTTGTTTCTACAGCTATTTTGGTGCATGTCCAGATATCCTAACTTGCAAATCACAATCGCTCCGTACTTGTGTATGTCATATAGTTCTGATAAAGCTGATTATCTCATAACATTATCAAAATTTATCACAACTTCCTTTACTAAACCTTGTTGAATGGTGATGGTATACAGTTGAATTGTCCACTACAAGAAACAAATAACTTTGTTCCATATTTATAGAAATTTATCATTTTTATTACTATGATTGCAATCATTCCATGTGTATCCGTCCATCTGACTTGTTCTGATTATATATTAAGGTCAACTGAAATCAAATTTTATACAAATTAATTTGGTTTTTTCTAAATCTACACATGTAATATTTGTGAACTATATACACCCATATACACAATAAATGTATTCGCAGTAATGTAGTGTAATGTGATTCGCAGTAAGTTAATAGGGTTAAATTGATTGTTCGATTACTAAGTCGTTTACTCAGTTTGACTATTTTAATGTATAAGACTTCATACTATAATCACTCTTTAGCTATATTATAATTATTATTGTATATTATAGACCAGTGTATTATTTTAACCTTATACACAGAATTAATATGCTTATCTGAGCTATTTATTTATTTATTTACTTAAATAATAACCTTCATTATTATAATTACTCTAATTGTTTATAACCAAAAAAATAATACTTTAAATATTAATTCTTCACCGGTCATTAAGTTCATGTTTGTATAGATTTATTAACAAATCGATTAAATTAAATATATTTCCATTACTTTATTTCTTACCAACAATTTATAATTCTCAGATAGTTTCACCATAGTAATAACAATAGTAATAATAATAATAATAATAATAATAATAATAATAATAATAATAATAATAATAATAATAATAATAATAATCATGAAATTAACCTTTAAAAAATGTATATTCATTCATCGCATTATGTTATATTCTTATTATTAGTTCATATATGTAAATATATACTTTATCGACATCACATTTAATCTATCGTTACATGAAATCACGTTCACAAGAATCGTAAATTTCAACATCAACTTGTACCAAAAAAAACATTATGTTATTTTTCTCATAAAAATTACTACATAACTTGTAATTTCCCTTATTCACTATGAACAATATTGGTTACGGTTAGAATTAATAACTTTAAAATCTATTATGTAACAATCTTTTCCATTTCTGTTTAAAAAAAGGTCGATCTGTTGTAGAATCATACTGACTTATTCCACATGAATATTTAGCTTATATATATATACTCGAATAGTCAAGCTGTAGGTAAAAATTCCGAGGTCAAAAGAAGAGATTTGACTAGAAATAATGTTCTTTTATAAAAATAAGAATAAACATTAGAAACTGATTCATCATGAGTCATGAGTTGTCCGGTTTTTTGGTTAAATAACTAAAGAAACAAGCAAGAAGGAATGGTATCTTCGAGGTAAGTGGACAATAATGAATTTAAATTTTTTTACTATGAACATGAAACAAATAGATTGGTATGAAGCTCGACAATCGACAGTTAGTAAGAAGAATGATTTACGCTCTTTGTTTATTTGGTTAGGAGAGCTCACCAACATAAATAAAATTTCTAGAAATGTTATGTTATATGAAAATATGTGACCATAAAAATGTGGAAATATAATTACACTCAAAAAAGTTAACGAGCGTATTACGTAACTTTCTTTTTAAAATCCACTGATACAATCTAGATGTGAATGTGGATTAAGAAATTACTTATATCACTTGGTAACATTACTTAATATAATGTAGTGCATCAAAAATTAAATAGAAGATAAATGAAATAATAGACTAATTTGATTCTACATGAATTAAAAGTTGTGTTGTAATTCCAAAGATCTTTATTTCACCATGAACTTCAACTTTTTCAGGTTACAGATTGGTTTTGTGGATTAGCACATTGTCTTAATTGGAATCTACGTCGACGTCAAAATGCAGTGATCAATTGTTGTCCCACAGACAAATAATTTTAAAGATTCTATGTTCCGTTCTTACGTATTAATTCCTCCTGTATTTTATCCTGCCTTTCCTCAGGTCTATTTTATTGTGATTTAATTTTCTTTATGATTTTGTTTATCCGAAAAATTACTTTTTGAACATTATTTTTCTTACTTAATCGTAAAAGGTTTCCATGATTACTTAGTCATACCTCTGGCATATATTTTCAAAATTTTCAACAATAAATCAGACAAATTGTGGCCTGTTCTGCATTTTGCTTCTTAACATTGCTTTAAAAATTACTAAAATAATTGGGTGCAAGCAATGTTCAAGATGTGTTGTGGTTATATTTGTTAGGTTTCGTCAGTGTGTCTTCTGAAGTCGATTTTTCGTTATCAAGTACTCGGTGAAAGACCTCAAGGCTGTGTTTTTCTTTGGATGTTCTAACACCAAATGGATACATTGATAATTTGATACTACTACAGACACACAACCACGCCAGCAGTAGCTGATCGCGATGTGATCAATCTGAGTCCAGGCTTGAGATGCAGAGGGAGGATGTCAGGTGGCACATCGGTTATGACTGTGTCGAAAGTTAGTACTAACCAGAAACAGGTTGTGGTCTGTGCACAGTTGCATTAGACGTTCCCCGTTATCTGTCCTGGAACCAACAAGTCCCCATCGGCAAGACAGATAACGGGGATCGTCTAATGCAACTGTGCACAGACCACAACCTGTTTCTGGTTAGTACTAACTTTTGACACAGTCATAACCGATGTTCCACCTGACATCCTCCCTCTGCATCTCAAGCCTGGACTCAGATTGATCACATCGCGATCAGCTACCGCTGGCGTGGTTGTGTACAAGACTGCCGCTCCTTTTGGAGTAATTATCTGGACTCTGATCATGCCCTGGTCTGCGCCAATCTTACCATACTTTTCAGTAGCCAACGATGTGACCACCACCGAAGGATTGATGTCAGCAAGTTGGTTGCAACTTCTGTTGCAAGTAAGTATCGAATCGAGCTAGCTTATAGGCTAGCTACCATTCCACCGAAAAATATGGATGAGCATTGGTTGCAGTTCTATGACGCCATCAAAATGGCGAATAAAGCCGCTTGCGGCTTCGCGAAACGTCCCGCTTATAAGCACTGGGTTTCTTCAGGCTCTTTACAACTCATTGAATCCCGTCGGTCTACTCCGGGTGACCGTAAGTTTGGCCACAAACGAGGGGTGTTACGTCATGAAGTTGGGCAAAGCTTGCGTAAGGACCGAGAAGCCTGGTGGTTGCAGCGTGCTAATGAGCTGCATCTGGTAACTATCGGAAGCTCGTTCAACTCATCCGAGTCACTAGCAGCAAGGAGTCTGGTGCGAGCGAAACAATCTGTGAGGATGATGGGATGCCAATCACTAACATCCATCGACGTCTTGGACGATGGGCAGAACTCTCCGAAGAACAATTCAACTGGCCTGCTGCTCCAGCAGCATTGGTCGGACTATCCTGCCCTCCATGGCTGGTGACGACTGATTCACCAAATGAGGCGGAAGTCCGCAAGGAACTCAAACTCTTGAAGCGCTACAAATCACCTGGCCCAGATGACTTACCTTCGTCTCTTTTTAAAGATGGTGGTGACTTTCTGACTAAGGAACTGACAGCGTTGTTCACAAAGGTTTGGGAGCTAGAGAGTGTACCAACGTCATGGAGTGAGTCGATAGTTGTCCCTATCTTTAAAAAGGGTTCACGTCGTTCCTGTAACAACTATCGAGGGATAAATCTACTTCCGATTGCGTCCAAACTACTGGCCTCCGTCATATTTCGTACGATGTTCAAAATCCGAGCAAGACTGACTCGTGAGGAACAGGTTGATTTTCGTTCTGGATGAGTGTTACGGGAGAACTGAAAACATTTGTCTGATTAAAACCTTTATATTGTATATGGGTAATTTTACTGTGTTTTTTGAATGTATTTGTCTCACTCAATTTCTGAACTTGTTTGTTTATATCACTATTTCCAGACAGTTTGGTTTCTCTTGTCTTCGGTTTGGTATTTGGGAGTTTTTGCTCCGAGAACCTACAAAATTGAAGGTTTGTTTTGTAATTGATATAATTATTGCTGTTAGAACGACATCTGAGTCGACTATCTGTAAATTGCGAATAAACTTTGGTACCTAAATTGGAGTTTGGCTCAATTGCACATTTGTGTTCGTAAATTGCAAATAGATCGATATACGGTACCTCAATAGCGGGAACGAGCAAAAACTTGGACGCAATAACGAGGATGCATTAGTCATATCTTCACCCTCTGTCAAATGTTAGAACACCGCCATACTTATCAAAGGCCAACACCTCAGGTAGAGTGAGAGTATACAACCACCTCTCTCCATTGTTCCATTCGAGCAGTAGGGCTAGGCAGGGTTGCCCTATCTCAACATTCCTCTTCAACTTTGCCATCGACGACATTCTGGAAACAGCTCTGATGGATATACGTAGTAGCGGTGTAGATCTGCTGCCTGGAGAAAGACTTCTCGACCTTGAGTATGCGGATGATATTGTCTTACTGTGCGACAATGCCCAAGGCATGCAATCCGCACTTAATCAGTTGGTAATCAGTGTCCGTAGGTATGGTATGTGCTTTGCACCTTCGACGTGCAAAGTACTTCTACAAGACTGGCAGGATCCTAATCCTGTACTCACCATGGATGGTGAGCAGATAGAAGTAGTCGAGAAGTTCGTGTATCTGGGTAGCTGTATAAGTGCTGGTGGGGGTGTGAGTGATGAGATCAATGCATGTATAGTGAAAGCCAGAGCGACTTATGCCAGTCTGGGCCATCTTTGGCGCCTTCGTGATGTTAGTCTGGCTGTAAAAGGTCGGATCTACAAAGCGTCGGTGAGAGCAGTTTTGCTCTATGCCTGTGAAACATGGCCTCTCCGAGTTGAGGGCGTTAGACGACTCTCTGTGTTCGATCATCGCTTTCTCCGAAGGATTGCTGACATCCAGTGGCAACACCATGTTAGTAATGCAGAGGTTCGGCATCGTGTGTTTGGGCACAGAGATGATAATTCAATTGATGTCACCATCTTGAAACATCGACTTTGGTGGCTTGGACGTGTTCTACGAAATTCTTCTCAGAGAATTACATGTCGTGCATTATTTACCGACACTGGGACTAGTTAGAAGAAACGGAGAGGTGGTCAGTATATGACACAGTGTCGTGGTATGAAGGAAAGCTGCAAAGAGCTGGTTTCTGTTGGTTCTTCTCGATTCTTCGGCTGGGGTCCTAAAGATGGTGTAAGGCAGTGGCTAGAGACGTTATCAGATATTGCTCAGATTAGAAGCCAGTGGCGATCCTACTGTAACCTTCTTTTACTTTCTTCATAAAAAGTGGTTGTAACTTCCTTAACTGAAACAAGTCTTACTGGTCGTACCTTTCCGTTTCTCCCATTATTATTATTACACTAATCTGTGGTCGTTATTGTTCTCCTTTTTCCTCTCTTCTCTCTATTACTCACCCTACATTCTTTTTTCTTCTCATTCTCATCGCCGTTGTGTGACGCATATATATATCTAGTGCCCCCTTGTACTAATATTTATATGTTCAAATAAATAAGTGAAATAGGGATATTTAGTTTTAGACAAGGTGCCTAGGTACGGTACCCATTGGAGATTATCATGTACACAAAAAGTAAAATCATGATCAGTAATGTTTGACGCGAGACGTACACACGACATATTAGCTTAAATTGACAGTTTGATCAGAAATATATGTAATAATTTCAAAAGATACTACTTACCAAAACCCCGATTTTTTATTGCTTTTTCTTGAAGCTCATTATAAATTTCGTATTTCACTGCAGGTGAGAACACTGTAAACCTGTGTTCCGATTCATGATAAAAGAATGGACATTGGTACAGAGCTTCGTCTTGGATATCATAAGAAAATTCCCTTAAAAACCCTAAATAGAGTTTTCATAATATATTTCTTGCGTTTCACTAACCCGAAACCTTCTAAATGACAACGATATTTGTCTTCAGAAAGCAGGGTAGTTGGGAAGTTCCTGCCATGAGGTGATGTTCAAACAATGCACTTGATCAGGGCGGAGAAGTACAGCTGCCAACAAGCATATGCTCAACAATATCAGTGTTATATTATAGAATAATTTTAGCTTCATACCAGTCAATAAACTGGTCAACTATACCCATGGTAAATAATCAGCGTATTTTGATGTAAGCAATGACCTAAATGATATCGCTTCCGACACTGGTAAGATCCATCAATCTTTATCAATGCCATTGAAGTTTGAGGTGTTTTAGAAGAGGAACTGGTGAAAGAATTTAATTCCATCTCTACTGGTTGCTGTTCACTAAACTTTAGGACAGACTACTTGTTTGTTCTTTTATGCTGAAACATGGTAAATTTAACTCCGGAATTGAATAGTACACCCTGAGATCTCATACAAGATAATGGGAAGCAGATCTAGATCAAACTTTCAACTAGAATTGTTATATCAATAAATATTCGTATTTTAAATTGGACTTCGGCAAAGGTTAGTATCATCGCTAATCCTGACATTTCCCCATTAAAAAGAACGAAGCCTTTGCAATGCAAGTACATGTACCGACATGGAATAACCGCCCAAGTATCGGTGACAGGAATGAGGAAATACTAATTCTATAAGGGTTGTAGAATGCCGTATTTCCCACCTACCTGGCATCCAAGTAGATTGTCTAACGACATTTGGTCTATCAGAACTGAGCATCTGGTCTTCACTAAATCGACAATTTCCAAACTCCGGCATATAACCAGTAAGTTAGCTCTGACTTTGCAAATTAGTCCACTGATATTTCCAAACTATCACTAGGTGACACAACTCTCAGCGTTGTAGACATATTGTACTTCGACGGAGTGTTCATTGTAATATTATTGACAAAATCCGATTTAGATTTATAGCCTCATATTTTAGATCGATACAAACAAAAGGTGTGAAAGGGTTGCTTATAAAAAAATGAAATACAGAACATTATTAGTGTTTTAGGTGTGGAGGGAAAATGAACACAAGCATAATGGTAACTGACGACTAAAAGTATTTTAGTAGCCATCCATGGATATTGTCTGAATTTTTAAATATTGTGAAAACTGGAGCGAACAAAAGCTAAATGTTTGGTTTAGGTTCAAAAGTTAATCCAATAAACCAAGGTTTATTCTATCAAGTCAAACCACTACCATGTTCTTTATAAAATACAATTCATGGTGAGTAAGCATATCGAAACACAAGTTCCGTGCCCGACTTGCACTGTGTCAAGTTGCGAAAACAAATTATATTGAAAAATACAAAAGATCTCAACAATGACTCCCAC